TTGAAAATAAAGTTCGTTCGGTTCGTTCGTTCTTTCGTTCTGCAGAACCAAAGCTCGTGGGTTCAGATTCTGACTAAGCCATACATTTTATTTTACATGACCAGGGTTTCCAGCTCGACCTAGCCCTAATTGGGTACCAGGTAAAGTGCAGAGAAGTAAAGGCGACCAAATCACCCACCGAGTACCGATTGGTTTCTAAAATTTAGGTCTACCACCGCATGCCCAATATGCCTGAATACGTGCGAGAGGGACATTGAGTGTATCTTCTAATGATGATGTAAGGACCAAGCAACACAACCGAGCCTACAAATCTGTAAAGGAAAATGTACCAGGAAGTAACAGCAAGTGGCGGGATTTTGAAAATAACACGTATCAATAAAGACATTTAAGCATAACTATGAGTGCAAAGAGACAGATTATTAATAGCATATTTATTCCAACATTAAGCTACCAGTGCCAAACATGGACACTAACTAAAGCCTATACACGCAAAATTACCACCTGCGAGATGAGGTGCCTGAGAAAGGCAGCCAACCTAACCATCCGAGATCGAGTGAATAATGAAACTATCAGGCAAATTGTGGGAACAACACCTTGAACTAGATTCATCGAGAAACAGCAGATCAAGTGGTTTGGCCATCTCGTTAGAATGCAGCAAGATCAAATACCATCACAAGCACTACATCTCAGAAGATCAACTACAAATGCAAGAGGACGGCAGCGGAAAACATGGATCGACAACATTAAAGACACTCTACACCTTCACGACATGACAATAGCCAGTGGCAGCCAACGTACACTGGATCGCAAATTATTCCTCCCCACGACGCTTAACGGCAGAAGTGGTTTATGATGATGATGATGATTGATTCTAAACGAAGACAGAGCAGAAAGCACTATATACGTGTAGAGAGGATCCCTTTTATCGCATACACTCCGACAAGTGAATCCATTTCAGAAGCAAAAATCTCTGTGATTTAACTTTACAATTTCATTAAACAAATGCCTCTTGTCGTCTTTTTGGCTCGACCGTATGAATAAATTAATCGTTTATCTTGGCAGTGTGTCACCGGGCTGGGAAAAAAGGGGGCAGGGAGGGTGCTTTGTTCTTGCTATCTTTATTTGTTCAATATCTGGTACAGTGTACATATATCGCTTATCCTGAGCTTTGTTGATTATTTCTATCTTCTGTGGACTCTCTGATTTTATGATTGTCCGTCTTTTTTTTTTTTAGCTTGAGCGTCTGTCTGTCTGTCTGTCTGTCTGTCTGTCTGTCTGTCTGTCTGTCTGTCTGTCTGTCTGTCTGTCTGTCTGTCTGTCTGTCTGTCTGTCTGTCTGTCTGTCTGTCTGTCTGTCTGTCTGTCTGTCTGTCTGTCTGTCTGTCTGTCTGTCTGTCTGTCTGTCTGCCTGTCTGTATCTATACTTTTCTATCTGCTTATCTATAATGCAGTATACAGCAAACGCCTGAACATTGAGTGAAGCCTCTTTTACAGAAAAAGTCTTGAGAAGAAAACCAGGACAAGGTACAACATTTGCTGAAATGCTTCGGTACAAAAAACACAGAGATTTGGTCACAGAGAGATCCGGACTGCACGACAGCATTCATCAAGGCAAAGGACCATCTGATAGAGGGATCGAAGAAGATGAAGAAGAAAAAGAAGGGTCACCGTATGCTCAGATGACAGCTTAGCGCAGAGAGAGAGAGAGAGAGAGAGAGAGAGAGAGAGAGGAGAGAGAGAGAGAGAGAGAGAGAGAGAGAGAGAGAGAGAGATGGGTGGAACTGAGACAGAGGGGATGCAGAAGATCGTGAGATGCGAAGAAGCAGGGAACTTGATAATGGTGATGTGAAGCTGTTGAGGTAGTGAGAGTCTGGCCATACCTTTATACAAAAGAACAGACAAGTCCTTTTATGGTTGTGTCGCGCGTGACAGACTGCTTCATGTAGAAGGGAGTAGCAATTTAAGTGTCTGCAATTTCCCCCCATCCTTCCCCCAACCCAACTCCTCCTTCTCCTCCTCCTTCTTCTTCTCCTCACACAAATATTTTCTTCACATGGCTTTCCCCATTACTCTGAGACACTGGAGCGTAGTCACTTCAAGGGCCTCTTCCACTCCACCCCCTTTTCCACCCGGCGGAGGAAAGGGGGGGAAGCTGATATCTCCACGCCTCGCTCCCCCCCCCCCCCACCCCCCTCCTTACATTCTTTTCTGTGTCGGCGCCATTGCTGTGGTGTGTGTTTCTGAACCTTTTTGCCAGATTTCCACGAAACAGACAACCATCAATATAAGCTTCCTGCAACGGTTGTCTGTACTGTGTGAGTCACTGGCGGCGTAATATAGTAACGTGAATTATTGCCGCCCGGTCTGGGATTGGATGAATCATTCAAAGCAGAAATAGATACTCTTTGTAGAATCATACTCCGGATACTTATCTAAGTCCGCAGACTCCCCGGTGCCAGAATCCGCCGAATCTTTTTTAAAGAAATGGTTGAATTTTGTATTTGATTTGTGTATTATCTACGTGCCGAATCGATTCATGTTTTTGCTTTCCAAAGCAACTCCTTGGGTTAATTTGCCTGAAGTTCAACGGAAGTTCCTTTATTTAATATGCTTACTCTATCAATTAGAGGATTGAAACCATCTTTTTTTAAATATTTACTGGACATGTATAAATGTTGCTCACCTGGTCTTCTGAATCATCTACTAGTCCTGCTTCCTTCAGAGTATTGAGAACATCGGTCCGATCCATTGGTTTTTCTTTGCCTAGCGTGGCCCTGCCAACAAGACAAGACGGTCTGGTCGTTCAAGTCCTATTGCCTGTGTCCTGACACAGATATGAAACTTATTCTTGTCAGCGAAGATTTATTTCAGAGACTTGTACTACTGTCTTCGAATCCATCCTGTCTTCATAAGCAGGTCCGTGGAATAAGTTGGAAAGGACACATGGGGAAAGATTTATATCTTTAGCCGGATCATTGCTTTAGTTACTACCATCAACTCCTTAGTCAGACTACTTGTAGTCAAGGTAAACGCAGTGCTATCTTCCGTTTACAGTAAAGGAAACAAACTATGTACTGGTCGTCTAATACCTTGTCTATGATCTTCAATCAGTAGCTGGCATTTAATTTACTTGTTTCTCCTCAGATACTGACGAACAACGAAGACATGACTCTTGATGTACAGCCTTTTTTGCCGGAACAGAATAGTGATACAGTCGAATGCTTTCCGTGACGAGATATGCTTGACGTGTCCAGCAAGAGATGATCGATGCCCTTGCCTCCTCCTCACAAGACATCTAAACCTCATCACGTGACAGCGGCTGAAGATATCGCCTGTCAGCTTTGTCATCATCATCGCTGCGTCTTCCCATAAGCTCATCATCTCATCATAGAAATGGAGCTGAGTGTGAAAACGTATATTTACCTACACAACATCCTAGTCTTTCTGGCAAGTTATCTTGGACGGACCTTACCTTTAAACTTAGATGGGTCTCCTGGATCCTACGTCTTGTACCCTGCCTGGGAACCATGTCTAAACGGGTCATTCGCCTTCGAGTTTAAGACTGAAGAGCAACATTCGCTGTTGTTGTACCTCAACCGGGGACAGTACTTTTTCTTTGAAGTGAGGCTGTTCAAAGGAAGGATCGGGCTTCGTGTCAACATGGGAGAAGGAACCATGTTTATTCGAGCAGGTAGGTCCCAATTAAACTGTTTCAATATGCCTGTTACTAGCAACCTGTTGCTTCATTGCTCCACCCACAATGTCTGATGAAGTTCTCTCGATAGTTTTGGAACGTCATCTAAAGCCAGTGTTTTAAACTCCGGGAGCTGCTATTTTCCCTTGGAGGTGCTGGGGGGCGGTAGAGAGTTGAGATAAAGTTGGGGTTATATGGGATTGTCTGTCTGTCTGTCTGTCTGTCTGTCTGTCTGTCTGTCTGTCTGTCTGTCTGTCTGTCTGTCTGTCTGTCTGTCTGTCTGTCTGTCTGTCTGTCTGTCTGTCTGTCTGTCTGTCTGTCTGTCTGTCTGTCTGTCTGTCTGTCTGTCTGTCTGTATGTATGTCTGTCTGTATGTATGTATGTATGTATGTATGTATGTATGTATGTATGTATGTATGTATGTATGTATGTATGTATGTATGTATGTATGTATGTATGTATGTATGTATGTATGTATGTATGTATGTATGTATGTATGTATGTATGTGTGTGTGTGTGTGTGTGTGTGTGTGTGTGTGTATTATGTATGCATCTATGTATACGGAGATCGAGGGGAAGAGAGAGTACAGTTTGTGACGCATCTTGTTTACGTAAATGGAGCTTCAAACATGTGATGGCAGACTCACATCTGTATAGATCATTCTAGGCTCACTTTGTGATGTCATCATCAACATCAAGTCAACTGCCTTTACTTCACAGGCCATTGCAAATTATTCTACGCAGATCAAAGCAATTTGCCGCTGGAAGTTAATTTGAGCAACTGCGCAATTGTAAATTATAGAATCATATGGCGTGAGAAATATGTGACCACATGCAAAAATCCGTATTGACCTTTTAGGAGTTTTCGAGATATTTGGTTTCAGGACACGATTTTTGGAACGGACTGAAGCAAAAAGATGCTCGGCATTTTCTGTCCAGGCTTAACAACTGTTACATTTTTGGAAAACTGTCCCAGCAAGGATCTTAGATTCCGTTGTATCCCACACACTAAAGGTTGTAATCTAAATTTTTGTTTTTCAGGAAATGTAATTGTTAGGGGGGCGCAATCATTGTGAAGAAAATTGTAAGGCAACAGAAATCTGGAGACAATGTGTGTGGTGAGATGTTGGGACAATTTGTGTTTGATGTGTGGAAATAATTTGTGTGGTGAGCTGTAGGGACAAAGTGTGTTTGATGTGGAAAATAATTTGTATGGTGAATTATTTGATGTATAGGTGAGATGACATATGTTAAATATTGTTCTTTGGTTGACACAGAAATTTGACATAATGACACTATGCTGAGACCGTTTTGTTTCTTTTAGAACTGGTCGTCTCCTTCTTTTTTCTTCTTGGCGTTCACCAGCTGTAAAATCTGGCGGAAAGTTTTGGTTGTTCATCCACTTCTGGACTCAAAGCATTTGGGATGAATCACACCAATTGGGAGGCTGTCTCTCAAGACCGAAATGCATGGCGTGCAACTCTACACAAGGGCGCGGCTACATGTGAAACAAACAGAACAGCAAGACTGATTTTAAAAAAAGAATGGACAGAAAGGCGACTGCAGGAGACCTCCTCCCTGGCACAACGCCCATTCCCTGTCCTCACTGTCCAAGAACTTTTCAGGCCCGCATCGGCCTCATCAGTCATCTTTGTACTCATACTTGAGGAAAAAAAGTGGTCATCATCATCTTGATGGACAACACACACACTCACACACATTACCGCTATGCTTTCAATGCCAAACATGGATACTCTCTTCAAAAGACAAAAGGAAAATAGTCACGAAGGAAATGAAATGTTTACGTACTATGCTAGGTGTAACAAGGAAAAGATCGACTTAGGGACGATGATATCAGAAGCAGAGGTAGACAACAAATCAAATGGTTTGGCCATGTAACAAGTTTGTCATCAGTCAGGGAACCACAGAGAGCAATGGCATACAGCCGTAACAAAACCAGAGGGCGACCACGCAGAACATGGACCGCAGAAATATCCGACACTTGAAAAGTACTTTATACGAAGCCAACAGAAAGGCCCGTTGCAGAGATCTCTTCTTGCCGTTTGGTGTAAGTGGTTTCGGCATGACGTCCGCCTCGAGTGCTAGAGGTCCCAGGTTAAGGCCCCGGTGAAGGATGGGATTTTTTCAAGTGGATTTTTAGCGATTTCCCATGGTCTCTGGGTAGTAAAATCGTACGCCCGTGTGTATTGCTGCACATGTTTAAAAAATATCTTTGCAGTTGGAAATAAAAAATAGTAGCCTAACGGCGCTGCTCGGACAAAATTTGAAGTTAAAAATTCACGCAAAGTATTTCATGATCCACGCCGGTGCTACGGAGTTCGTGCACTGCTCTGAGATTCTTCGGACTCAGGCTTGGAAGTAGAGCGGAACTATTATGGGTTACTACCCTTGTGTCATGATGTTGATCTGTTGTTCAAACCTTTAACCTTCTTGCTCTGACATCACAAGGCAATCCGGTAGTAGAGAACAGCAGAAGAAGATTTATATATATATATATATATATATATATATATATATATATATATATATATATATATATATATATATATATATATATATATATATGCCCGCTAGCTCAGGTGGTTCACGCCTGGGGTAGACAGACAAGCCACATTTCTCCCAAGTTTACTATATCTATCATGGAATCAAAGCCGAAGGGTTGGGATATCCATAGTACCGAGCAAAAGGGTTAACAACTCATAGTTTCTGGATATTATATACACACACATATGTACACACACACACACACACCCACCCCCACCATTGAGCCCGCCCGCACGCACGCACGCACATACGCACACACACACACATACACACACACAGACTCACTCTCTCTCTCTCTCTCTCTCTCTCTCTCTCTCTCTCTCTCTCTCTCTCTCTCTCTCTCTCTCTCTCTCTAAATCTAATATTATGTCTGAATCCTTAATTAATTATTAATTTTCTTGAGGTGCCCATGGAGCACTGGGAAGTGGGAGCGGAGTCACTAGGGCTCATGGAGCACTGGGAAGTGGGAGCAGAGTCACTGGGGCTCAATGGAGCACTTGGAAGTGGGAGCGGAGTCACTGGGGCTCAATGGAGCACTGGGAAGTGGGAGCGGAGTCACTAGGGCTCATGAGCACTTGGAAGTGGGAGCGGAGTCACTAGGGCTCATGGAGCACTTGGAAGTGGGAGCGGAGTCACTAGGGCTCATGGAGCACTTGGAAGTGGGAGCGGAGTCACTAGGGCTCAATGGAGCACCTTTTGTGAACTTCTAATCAATACATTACTAAGATACAACAAACAAACAAAAACAGTTAAAGACATTCACCAGACTCACTACAAATGCTGATCTTTCCATAGGTGAATCCTTGAATGACGGCAAGTGGCATACAGTAGAGGTGCGACAGGACGGGGGTGTCACCTACCTCAAAGTTGATGGTGTGGAGTACAGCAAGCAGTACCCCGGGGTTCTCCAGAACTACGCACCTCTCTCCAGCAACGACACGTTCCTCTTCATCGGAGGCCTTCCCATGGAGTACGAAAGTAAGAAGTTCAAATCCCTAGCTCTGCCGTCTGTGATATTTGAGCCCAGGTTCCGAGGCTCTATAAGGAACTTTTTTTACAGAAATTGCGGCGGAGAGCCCACCCGACCCACCCCGTTGGAATCCAGCGGCATCTTATCAAAGGATATAGATTTGTGTGAAAGGGGAAATCCGTGTTTAAACGGTGGTCGCTGTTTGACTACAGACAATGGACTATTCTGTGACTGTACCGACACTGAATACAAGGGGGACCGCTGCGATCTCCGTGAGTATACAATTCTTTGGGTCTTGGCCTTCAGTATGTGACTTTTGCTGTTGTATTCCATTGACTTCTTCTGTCTCTGTTCCTTTATTTTTCATTATAACGAGCATCAAGTAAAAATTTATTATAATCTTTCTGATAGCTTTTATAATTTCTGCCTCCTTCTGCTTTTCGTCGTCTTATTATTATTATTTTTACAATTATTATTATTATTATTGTTATTCTTTTTCTTCTTCTTTTTCTTTTTCTGCTGCTGCTTCCATGATAATTATGATAAGTAACGTCTAAGTAACGTCTAAGTAACGTCTAAGTAACGTCTAACGTAACGTTTAAGTAACGTCTAAGTAACGTCTAAGTAACGTCTAACGTAACGTTTAAGTAACGTCTAAGTAACGTCTAAGTAACGTCTAACGTAACGTTTAAGTAACGTATAAGAAGAAGAAGAAGAAGAAGAAGAAGAAGAAGAAGAAGAAGAAGAAGAAGAAGAAGAAGAAGAAGAAGAAGAAGAAGAAGAAGAAGAAGAAGAAGAAGAAGAAGAAGAAGAAGAAGAAGAAGAAGAAGAAGAAGAAGAAGAAGAAAAGAAGAAGAAGAAGAAGAAGAAGAAGAAGAAGAAGAAGAAGAAGAAGAAGAAGAAAAAGAAGAAGAAGAAGAAGAAGAAGAAGAAGAAGAAGAAGAAGAAGAAGAAGAAGAAGAAGTGAAGAGAACGACAGCGATGAGGAAGAGAAAGAGATTGAGCAATATGAGAAACACAATAATGCTGATATGCTATTAATGACGTTTACGATTGTAGTGATTCATTCATTTATCATTCATTCATTCATTCATTCATTTATTATTTCATTCATATATTTATTCATTTATTATTTCAATCATTCATTTATCATTCATTCATTCATTCATTTATTGTTTCATTCATTCATTTATTCATTCATTGTCCTACTGTCACAAAGAGCTGGTAGTCTAGCTCTCTTGTCCGATATTTCCTGTGGAGTCACTTCAAAATCATGGATGGAATCCAATACAGTAGCTTTGACCTCTCTCATCAACGTTCGCCTCCGTGTTTCTCTTGGACAGTTATTCTGATTAAAGACCCCAGAAAAATGAAAATAAATCAATAAAGTTACTCCAGGGAGCAATAAAGAACACACAAGCAGCAGATAGTCAAAATGTCTGATGATTGATGTCGTCATCAAAATAATTCTATGCAACCATTGAGTTACTGAATATTGTATCGATTGCCTATTCGGCCTTTCCCTTTCAAAGCGTGATTACAAATTTATTGTGTTTCCTGTTGTTGCCTATTCGAGCTGTGTCATTGTATCTTTTCCAGTTGTTTAATGTGCGCTTGGCATTTCTTTCTAAATACTTTGATCCATATCGACCTAGTCAACAACTGGTCCCAGGAAAAGTTGAAGGAAGCAAAGGTGGCTTACATAATGTTTTAACACAATACCCATCAACGTTGATTTGTCTGCCTGGTGGCAACCCACTTAAGGCTGCCTAAATGTATAGCAAGGTTTCTTTATTTTTGTTATTGTTGTTGCGCACATACTTAATTGCTGAACAGTATCCTCTGCTGAATGCATTACATTAGGGCCGTTCAACTAAGTTAACTCAGGGAATTCCCTATCAAATCTCGCAGCCGCCGAGATGGGGGGAAAAAGCTGTAAAGGACCTTTAATACAACATTTACCACTTTCATGATTTCTTCGTGCGTCCGACGTCTCCTAAACACCTTTTACCCGTCCTATTCTATTTTCATCTGGAGTTTTCTTCTTCCGCCAATGGGGATTAAATATCTTTAGAATAGGGGTTTCCTACTTTAGTTATGATTCCATCTTTGGCCCATTATATCCTGGAGGAGAGCCAATTGGTGGTTTCCTTTTGTATGTCCACTGGCGTGTCCAGGAGAGTGAAGATGTTCATCTCTTGCATGTGTTTTGACGGCATGAGCTAACAATTTATGCTAGAAATATCGAATCCCAACTATCTGGGACACAGAGTGGGAGTCAGGTATTTATTTATTGCTGAATGGCGTCTATGAAAACCATCTCACTGACCCAATGATCAACTCTAGCTCCATTCCATTGCTGAATGTCCTGGCACCGACCTGCGATGATGTTGTTCATCAGTTTTCGGGATTTGTCTCTTTCTATATATCTTCTCATTTCTAAAACATTTGTTGATCTTATTATGATAGTAACTAGAAATCGCCCTGGGGATGCGATCAATTCTTTTCACTCTCGCTATGAAGGTCGCAGCCCCGTTTCCGAACCGCTTTCGCTGTTTACGCATGCCATTTGCCTATTGCGTGATCCCTGAGGTTCGCTGCTGTAGCCTCAAAATGCTGGTTAGTTTTACGATAGTCTCCCCAGAGAAAGTAGGTCACGTTCTATTGATAACTTTGCTGGATGTTACGGGTATGCGCTGTGTTGTTTGCTTTCTAGGATGCCTTGTATTTACGTTTTTATTCCAAGAAAGAGAATGCCTGTGACATATGTTTCATCACTCTCTGAAAGAGTTTTGTATTAGACCCGGTTTGTCGATTTTTTTAAGAGTTTTAAAAGCGCTGGTATATATAAAACACGTTATATCAACTGATTGGGGGGGGGGGAAACACCCCGTCACCTTGTGCCAAGTAAACGTGGCTCAAGGTCGACCAATCAGAAGTGATCTAGGCTAAAGGTCGACTAATCCTAAGTGAGCTAGTGTGTAACAGTATGTAAATATACCCCGTGTGGGTTCCGGGGCCCCATTGTGGGGAAAACAAGAATAGACCCACTGCCTCCCCAAAAGCATGTCGTAAGAGTCGACTAATTGGGGAACTTCCTTTGAAGTCGGAGTGCATCTGCCGGAGAGGCAAGGAACCAACAGTCTGTATTCAAGAGAATGAGATCTGTAAAACTGATGCACACGCAACACTCAGGTTCTGGAGCAGGACTGCAGTTCAGTAGTGGACGAGCAACCAGAACCTTCCGCCAGAGTTTACAGCTGGTGAACGCGAAGAAGAAGAAGAAGAAGTATGTAAATAGGCAGAGCAAAGTTATTTTTACCAAAATTTATGTTTACCAAAATGTATGTCCTATGTGACACTCATGACGGACAGACAATAAATATTTCCGGCCATATAGATAACATCAGGTCAATTGGATCCCTTCACATCAAGGCCTCCATATCAATGACCCTTGACCACTAGATCAGTCAAGACTTAAGGTTAAGGTTAGTTGCGTATCCTTTACAGGACTTTACAGAACCAACATCAACAGCCCCTGGCAAGACTAGCAATAGTTAAACACACACAACCAAAACATTGTTTCTCCCTTATGTTTTCAAACAAAGAAGACACACAGCCAGTCTTAGATTTTTTAGATGTTTGGAAGTTACCGCTATAAACCGGTTTAGTTTAGAATGTGTGTTTCAGTTGGAAGGATTTATTGACTTGCTTCATTTTAATAAACTGTTACTGCAGTATGCACCTGACGAGATACAGCGAAATATGCCAGGCAGTAACTTAAGCAATCTATTGCTTATGTCTTCTTTCCTCAGAAACACCCAGCAGCAAATTGGTTGTTGTTAGTCAGAAATTAATAAAACGAAAAAAAAAATTTTTTCTTGCATGTTCAAACGTACACGTAAAGACAGATAAAAACGCCTTTGTGCGTTCAACAGCCTTTTGTTTTGTTTCATTTCCTTTGAGAGACAATTTTGATCCACCAGGAAGATATTTTTGATATCATAAACGAATCTGCTCTCTCGGAAGTGAACTTTTGACCTCTCCAAGGAGATATATTCTGTTTCGTGATGATTATTTCTTGGTGTAGATTACACAATACAGGAAACAAAGATGTATGGGCAATTATGTTTGATCAAACAGATGTAATTGTTATTATTTGATTAATTACACTGCTGCATATGACAATATGAATTATTGTAGTAAGCCAGAAGGCAGAAAAGAAAAAGGATGTGATCTGATGGATGGAACGAGGAAGACACATACACACACACACACATACACACACACAAACAATGAAATAGTAGTACACATACCTGTGTTAGTCAGATTAAATGTTGCGGTTTTGTGGTTGCTGGTGAAAGAAATAGCTGTAGCAACAGCAGTACCAGTAGTTGCACTAATATCAGCAGCAGCAAAGTAGTAGCAGTGTTAGTAGTAGCAAGTGCAGTAGCAGTAGCAGTATCAACAGCAGTAGTGTAGTAATAGTAATAGTACTAGTACCAGCAGTAGTAAATATAGTAGCTGTTGTAGTAATAGAAGCAGTAGCAACAATAGCAACATTAGCAACAGCAACAGATTAAACAACATAGAAGCTGTGTATGATTAACACACGTATGATCTGTTTCAGTAAACGCAGACATTGTAGCGTGTGGGCAGTAACGATAACAGCGTGGGGGAAAGGGAGGGAGGGAGGGGGGAGTCTGAGTTTCCACAATGTCTGTTTCTGGTTTCATGGTTGACGGTGAAAGAAAAAGTGGTAGTAGCAGTAGCAGCAGCAGCAGCAGCAGCAACAACAGCAACACTAGTAGCTATTACACAGCAATAGATTAAAAACTTTTAATTTCTTTGCTACTTATCACTTTTCACAGACCCTCCGAGAGAGATAAGACACTAGGGATGTGGGGAGAAGTGGGTTGGGGATGGTTATGTCACCAAGGCCTCCGTGTTATCGCTGTTTACTATCACCGACTGTAAGCGTCAGCGGTAATTTCTGGTTATTCGTCTATTTCTGGAATTAGGTCTTGCTCCGGAATTTAAGTTTTACAGGTATGACTTATTTGAAATGCAGACTGTTGGTTTTTGCCTGTCAGGCAAACGCACTTCAAATTCAATGGATACACTCTTAATTTTGTTTATTTTTCAGCGTTTTTATCATTAATAAAGAAAATATAAACAAAGATACATCTACTATTACTCAACACTTTAATACAGCTTAAACCCCTTGAGACCTTCCCCACTCCCCCCCCCCCTTTTCCCTATGCGCCTGAGT